TTATTCTACAGTGCACAAGAGTTTAGCACGTTTTTAAACAATTTAGCACAAATATTTTGCCAGCAGGTAATATTGAGCAGACTGATGTTCAGAGAAAACATCATGACTAAATGTAGCTGAAAATGAAGCGTAAAACTAAAGCAAGTGTCAATCCACAAGATTATTTGTCACTGAATGCTTTAAAATAGGTTACCGGTATACAAAAAGGGGAGAGAGGAAAAAGACAAAAGTCCAGACCACTGTATAGTATGCAAATCACACTGGATGAGAATAAATCAATGTACAACGCAACCAGCAACAACAGTTGGATGTCAAGCTACCTATTAATTTAAGTGCGCTTTTCCAAGAAATCCCTCTTCAACACAACAACCATGTTACAATTAAATCTGCCAGTTTTTTATTTTTAAAAATCACTTGAAAATGAACTGACAACTGAAATTTTTTCAATTTTATTTTGAATGACTTCAGTAAATATATTATCACGAAGAGAAATGATATTCTTGAATATAATCATAATTTTTGTTAGCACGTAACTATGGCAATCCTGTTACAGCTTTCTGATAAAATCTTAATGACCTTATCTATATTTAGTATTTCATTTTCAGATGCGCGCTTCTTTTTTAAAATTATTTGTTGTGATATTCTATGATTTGATACATAGTACAAAAAAAAGCACAGATTTTGACTTTTTCACTCCTAGTTTTCATTGCACATTTTATTTCCATGGGTAAAGATACCCAAAGCTGTCTCCAGGGTAATTTTCAGCTGTGCTAAAAATAGAAACCTTGTTGTCTTTACTCCAGGGACAAAGCTTATCTATTTGGTCAACATAACACATGGTTGAGACAATAGGGCTCCCCAGCTGTGCAGTACTGAAAATAACCTGTGAACAAAAATAGCACTTAGGGGGTCCAGAGTTGAAATTAGACATGGACACTGATTTTTCTAAAACAGATCAGGTCCTCATTAATGAATGACAGACTATATAACCAGGGCACTAGCAGAATAGAGAAAAGTGCAAACCGTTAAGCTGCAACTGACCTGGATTTAATCCAAACCATATGAAGTGGCAAGAGTAACCTAACCCTTGTAAAAATAGACACTGCTAGAAATAGACTGGTGGACTGGTCAGAAAACTCAAGATGCTCTGACCTGGGTGAACTGAAAACTGAGAAGGATTTTTAACCAGGCCCGGCTTATTTTCTTAAAATAGCTCCATGCTGGCAGTTGCTATGCAGCGATAGCCTCTGCTGTTTCCGGCTAAAACAAGCTGTGAGTTTTCAGTTCTGCAAAACGCAGGACGGAATGAGACAACAGTTTTATATAAATTTACTATTGTAAAAGCATAGGCAGGCTGGAGTGGCCAGTAAACATAGGCTAAAATGGAGAATAACACCAATGTAGAAAAGTTTGTCAAACAGTCACGACTTGAATTGTACCCCCCCCCCCCCGAGGTATGCCATGATGGCCGAGTACACACATTGCATAAATGGTAGTCAGCAAGCGAGAGAATGCTCAGACAAAACACCTATCAAATATAGACTGTTGGTCAATTTATAGCTGATATAATGCCAAAAATAGCTGCAATTGACAATGTATGTAAAGCAATTGACAACCTTGCTATTCATGCAAAGAGGGCATGGCTAACAAGCATTTTTTGTCAAGAGCAACGGCAACACACACATATACATACACGCTTGGGTAGAGGAGAATCAGAAACACATTGGTAAGCGCTTATATAGATAGCAGAGCATCATGGACTATCCAAGCAACGACCTCATTTCAATCAAAGCACTGTAGTCATGGAAATGAAACTCTAAAAATAGCACATTGGGAGGAGAGCTGGTTCTGTGATATTTTTTTTCCCTTTGTGTATATAAAGCTTAGAAGAATTGACAGAATCTGCGATGAAACACAACAGTAAAACAAACAGTATTATTATTTATAAATAATCTTAAATTGAGGCAGGATAGATTAAAATGAATCCATAATGTCAACATTTTAAAATTTTGATTTACAAGCAGAATAATTTAACAAAGCAATACTGTGTGGCAACTGATTCTAGCAACAAATGACTCCAATACCACCTAAAAAAATTAATTTTCAAATAAAACACAGACTTTTTAATTGCTTAAAATTAGAATTTTTTTAAACAAATGAAGCGTAATCATTTTTTTAACCTCTGAACTTTCAATGATGGCTGACCCAAAAACCCACATTTTGAATATAATGATTGAAGGCTACCTGTTCTAGAAGAGGGTGTTTAACTTGACAATGATAACCCCTCAGGAATACCTTATAATAGGGGTGGTATTTGTTGACAAGCTAAGGTTACTTAGCAACCATTTAAAACAACCTACAATTAATGGATTTATCGACAACCATGTTCTACTTGGGTGAATTCCATGGTGGAAGGAGGGGGGAGCTAAGTTGAACATGGAATTGCCATATAATATTTGGCTCGACTTTTATAGCGTCTTTCAAATTTACGAAACACACAAGTAAACAACAGCAAAAATTCACAGGCAACTGTAGAATATGAAATATATGAATATGAAAAAGTGGTGGTGAAAGTACAATATTGTGAAAGATTGTATCCATTTATGTTTGAAACGTGAATTACATCAGTTGCAATGCTATGATGAATGACCACTCCCCTAACAGGTCATATCCACACAGCTCAAAATTCCACATTGGTCAGATTCTATTTGTCACAAGTAATAAATCAATTGGCCAGCATTCTGTTACAAATTAACACCAGGACCACATGAACCCCAGTAACCAATACAACAAGATGGGAATCAATTCTTGCAGGTTTTCAAAACATTGAAAGTCAACATATATTATAGATATACATTTAGTCATTTAAATATTAGTTTCTGATACTGCCTCAAACCTTACTCCAATTTGTTTCTATGGTTTCCATGGAAACACTCCCTTATGCGACTCCTGGGAATCTTCGTTTTAATCATTGACACACAAACAAGCAGGAGATAAGCAGAGAATCAAGTTCAGCGCTTCAAGCACGCGAGCAGGCTATCTATGATAACACCATCACCAATATGTTGTCTGATCTCAGTAGAAAATGTTTTTAAGGACGCAGCCTGAATGTTGACTAGGAGTCAATACCACAAAAGCAAAATGGCTAATACTGCTACAAAACCTCCAAGGCAAAAAATGTTGAAAACTAGGAGATAACCATAAAAGATTAAACTGCTTCTAAGAAAAGGAACATGATAAACATATAAAAATCAAAGACTATCCAACTAATAATATGTCATATCTTTTGTATAATAATCATAATGCTATCCATGGAAATAAAAATTAAAAACAAATTTGATTTGACATGTTTATGCTTAACTGAAAGGATAAATACTACCAATACATTCACCAGAGAGAGAAACCAAAAGTAATTAATATCAGTAGATTTACATTGGGCGCCACTCAGAACTGATCTTCACTGAGATGCATAATATAATGTCCCTAATGTGACTGGGTTAAGCAAAGACACTTCTGATTGCGGGTCATGTTACATTATTCCATATTATTATTTACTATTAACATTGAAATTTTGGAAAAGACATGACTGGAAAATTCCAGCACAGAACAGCAACAATAACCATGAATTGCCATAAATCATTACAGCGTATTTTTTTTATGCATAACAGCAACAACAAAAAGAACTTGCGGACACAACTAACGAGGAAAATGAAACCCATCAGTATATAAGCAGTACCAGATTCATGATTATGACACTTGTTTTAAAAATGGTACTACAAACAAACTACTAACAAATTTTAGTAAGCCTGTTACTATGACAACAAAATAAGTCAAACTTGCCATCCACATCCACCAAATTTAGACATTTTAATTTCATCAGCACTAAAAATTGACACTGTATCATTATGCAATGCTCATCCACAGAAGCTGACAATAAGTCAAAGATACCAGTCATTGATAATAATTCCCAATCCCCATGACATTTCACAATTTAAAGGTGAACCAAATCAATCCCCCAATCTAAATTGCATCTGAACTTGTTTAAAGGTGCAATACTTCACAAAATTGCAGAACAATCGTATAATTCATTAAACAACAACATTGCCAAACTAAATGACAATATTTTGATATAAACATGAAGAGAATGGATAGCATACATCTATGACCTCTAAATCATAGACCTAGAAGTGGAATAACTACAGGTAATGAGATTAGTTAACTATCTCTGTCCATAGCAACCACAACAGTAAAACACCAAACAGGAATCTTAATTTCACTAACACACAAGTAGTGGGGGGGGGGGGTGTCAATGTGAGGAAGGGGAATGTCCAATGATTTAAGATCAATACGAGGATTTTTTTAAAAACAAACAATTCTATCGTCTTCCTGGTTTATAATGTAATAGTACTCATTACGTATGTGAGTGTGCATATTGAAATGAATCAGAGAAAGAATCCGAGGTTTACTAGTATTACAATGAGCGACATCTATCAAGCAGAGCCAATGCCAGGTCGAACTAAAAGATACAGTGGGCACAATAAGTGTTCACCACTTGAAAATAACTACCCATATCAATGAAGGGAAGACATCCGAAGGGCAAAAGATATTCTCACAATTAGGGACGACTAAAATCTCGGTTAAACCAGCTCATCAACATGCACCGAGAATCAAGTTCAATATGAAACTTAATGAATCAGACAATTTTTCTAAGATTTCTTTTAAATTCAGCACAAAAATTATTTCCCTCTGTGTGTCTATTCACATAATATTTAAGCAGAATTTAATCCTATTTAACAGAAAATTTGTAAAATTTAGATCAAGCATAATTATAAAATTGTTGCTCTGTTACTAATTTCATAACACAGTTGGGTTTGGAGTTTGTCACCTCAAATTGCCTTTAAATTTAAAATGTAGCTTTTTTTCATTTTCACAAAAATAAAAAATATGATATCACAGGACAGTAGATTTATTTTACAATATTAAAAATATATGGAACTCACTATTTTGCACTGTCTATAAGTTGGTACTCATTTGACCTTTCATAACACGTTTGCACTCCTTGATCTTTCCACAAAACCTCTGTGTGATCCCAAAATTCCTAAAAAAAAGATAGAATAGATAAACATTAAAGATAGAAGGTTAGAATCAGAGAAGATTGGAAGAAGAAACAGCTATATCGCTTTAGTAAATCTGTTTCTTATCACACGTTGTTTATTGTCCTTAATTTCATAAAAGACCAGCTGCTGGTTCAGGGTGATTGACTTGTTTTTACCCTTCTTGAACAGGTATTGGATTTTGTTCGCAAAAAATATCCGGTGATGAGTAAAGCAAAAACATTTTACTGTGATATTCAGGAATATTTATTGAAATACCGATAATGGGAATAGGAAGTGACAATGCTTGACGTAAATAGGAATCAATATAGTCAAAAGAAAATCCTGGTCTACAGCACAAACAGTGTATATAGGAACAAAATGAATGTAAAATTCTGAAAATCTATCACCAAGATTCGGGCAGCTGGGGCAAACATAAACATCAAAAGGGATTCCTTGGTAACAAGATTCATCTTCAATAATAGCACAATATGGCAGTGACCTCATGCTTAGGTAAAGCCATGTTTTTAATCAACACCTTACAATAGGAGATGGTTAACATCAAAATTAACAGTTTGCTTTCAACGGATTACAATAATATGATTTTCTGTTTTTCTTACTTGCCTACTAACTGTATACAGTTATATCTCAATGAACACATTGGATTCAGTATTAGCAAATCAATTATGAAATGGGTTCCATTGACAAAAAATAGTTTTGAGAAGGATCAGGAGGTATCTTGCATCTAAAGGTGGAATCAAGAATTTGTTTTTTGTTACACTAAATAGCAAGACAGTCCTATGGAAAGACAAATGTCAAGTGCCTAATTAGAAATCATGTAAATGACATTTACAGCAATGAGATAATGAATTCACTCAGGTGCTTGTTCTAAAAATAGACTTAGAGAATGAATTTTACAACAAATCAAGTGTGAAGTGGTTTTGATGCTACACATGATAAGTAATTTGGAAATTATTCTGTGAAGGGAAAATTGCAGAATATGCGTTGCTTTCCACTAGCAACGTTTTCTGATCTCAGGGCGGTACAAGCCCTCCTCTTTAGTGGGTTGGGCACACAATCACGAACACAGTGATTTGCGTTCTACACCAGCTTTTTCCTTCCAGTCACTCGGACCAAAAAAACAACAATATATTTGTTTGTCACTGTATTGTTATACGTTGATTAGATTACAGTTGTATTTTTCATCTCGACTGAACGGCTTACCTCTGGATAGTCGAAATCGGGCGAACTCGAGACGTCTTGGATGTAATCCAGTCTAAATTGGTTCTCTGGATGCTCAAGGGCTATAGGCGGTGTTAGCGTACTCATGGCTCCCGTAATCGTCTTGTAGAAACGAGAAAAATAAGACAGTCTGAGTGAGGACGACACGTTTATATTATATGGACATTGATTATGCAAAGTCAGTACACAGACATGATCGCTGCTTCAGAATGCAATGTAGTCAAGGTATTAAAACTAAAATCAGGACTCGAGATAAAAATCAAAACTCACCAAAATCGCATCTCGGATGTTCTTTTTAATATCGGCGATTTTCTGTTTCTTTTCCCTAGTAACGCGTGAAAGGAAAATTACATAACGAATATAGTAGATAAATTCATTGAAGGACTGAACACATAGTTCCGACGATCAAGCAAGTGTCGAAGGTGTACATGTTGTTCGCCAACGCAACATATATAGAGGGTGTAGGGGTTAAAAATATGCATAGTATAAACAAGCACAATAATAATGTCCACCTTAAACCCAGGAAGATTTCAAGGAAGAAAATAGCTCGGACACTTACTCTATACTAAAACCGTCCACATGAAGAATTCTCATCTGTTTGACTATGGTACTTTTCCCTGATTCCCCCGCACCTTGAGAAAAGAACAGAACAAAACAGCGACATAGTGGTTTATATATGCTTATGAGATCAGCCAGCCAGTCGACAACAAGAGAACTGCGATCTAGCCATTTTGTGTTGTCTACTAACCCAGTAACAGCAACCGATGTGTTGCTCTGTAGATTTGTTTATCCTTTTGAATTTGCTTGTCGATCTTCTTGTTGGCCTCCTTTCGTTTTTTTTCTTCATCTTTTTGTTCATCAGAAAGGCCGTTTCCGAAACACCCCATCAGTACAGCTTCAAGCTTCGCGATGAGCGCCTTTCAGCGGCCTCGTTCAGCGAAAATGACACCACAAATGAACGTCCAGTGTCCGCAGCAGCCACCTATGTATATCCACGAATGATTGGTCGTTAGTGCTGGATCTATCCCGGTGGCGTTTTTGGTGATCTGGAGCCTGTAATTCCCAGCTTATTCACTGCTATTTCCCTCTCAAGGCTGAAAGGACACAGCAACCACACGTCAACTTTGACAAGCAAGCCTAGCTAGGGTGGGGTGTAGCAATGCATCACGGGAACCACCATTACTCATTTACATACTATTAACATTATATTTGCATAATATCTGCAATGTAAATGAGTGAGCTGGACCAAATAAACCAAGACACGTGACAACTGACAGCTGTGACGTCAGTCACTGACGTCATATTTGCGTCTTGTGGGCCTTTTATAGTATTTTTAAATCTCTCTAAATTATTATGTTTTTATTTCGATAATATTTTTCCAAATCACGGTTTATTCATCATCGATTTTTTGAGACTAGCTCTTTCAAATCTCGTTGATTTGGTTTGGGGGATATATTTGCTGTGTCCGTTGCTGTTATCCGCGATTGCTTGAGAGGCCTTCCAACAAACTTGCTTCTATTAAATGAATATCTTATTTTTGTGTATATCTGAACAGACAAGCCTGTACATGATGTTTTCTTTCGAACAACGCCAGTGCTCATTCATAAATCTGCTCATTGTTACTGTTCGCTTTCCCGTACCGTGCTGTAATTAGGCTCTGTATGGCATGTGCCGTGAAAATATTCAATATACATCAAAGTAAATTTTCTGTTAGAGCATGTCGCCCGAAGGACGCTACATTGACGTGGAATTTTTCAGTAGGAATTGCAGTAACACTTCGCCCTGTTTAGTGCCGTTACGAAAATAAACTAATAACGAGGGGGTGTCGTTCTGTATAGTATGTGGGGGGGGGGGATTTATGGTTGTCGTTGGTCCTGAGGCTATTGCTGTACTAGTGGCCAACTTTATGTACGACTTTGATTTACACGCTCAACTGACGGTATGACAGACTCGAAAACAAGATGCAATATTTCGGAATTGCATATTTTAAAGTATCCTTACTCCAATTTATGTATTTATTTAATTATATACACAGAAACGACACATCCCATTTTCAAAAGCCGTGGGTCCCCGGCGTTTGGAGTCCGGACCGTACACCGACGATGAACTGTGTATACCAACAGATGTATAGAGGTTGGTAAGTGGTGTACATAATTTAGGAAATGGTGTGGGAAGAAGTGTCAGCTGCTACTTAATATTCATTTTTTTTAAAATCGGTGAGTTGTTTAAAACGTGGTATGGAAAAAGAACGTGCAAACAAAAAGTTCTCACCAAATGTTGTCACTACTTATCCAAATCAAAAAGTCACGCTGATAATGACGGCAATAGTAGAGGGTTACTTGCGAAAAACTGTATGTCTAAAAGTAAATTTGCCAGAATAAACAAATCCATATTTCAAAAAATGTTGAAAATCGCACACTGATTAAGTGCGATTTAATAATAATATTCACGAGTATGATAAAAACGCGTTTTTGCACTCATAAATGCCTGTAGTGACCACGGTACACAGTTGAAATTGCTAACAGGCCAACTTAAGCCAGACGAGGATCCCGTAAGCAGTTCGGGAGTTAGGTTAAAATTTAAATTGTTGATAAAATGGACGTCGTTTTCAGCACACACAAATGGGACGGTAAAATATACCAATGGCGGAGAAGTATACGTCTATGTTTATCTAAAAAACTTAAAACACGCACATGCCGTAAGTCACATTATTATAACACGCGTATATGAGAGAAACCCCCTTCTCCACGGGAATGGTTCACGTAATTTTCAAGTTAAGACCGTACCCACCTGTTGGATCTTACAGTGGTAACCAAGACTACACACAAGTTCATGAGCACCGTCGGTGGTTACATTGTAATAGTAGATTACATATCCATGTTGATTGTTCGATAGTCTGTAGGTTGATAGTATATTGTCAGTTTACATGCCGATATACCAAGTCAATTGTCGAACCCAATTGACGTAACAGCGCATGACTCATCTTAATAGTACATGCATATATACTTGAATACTTATTTATTTGTGGGGTTTATGAGCTTAAAATTGACGTTGAAGCACCCCTTCTGTAAAAATATCTCCACTGGAAATATTTGTTATCAGTGCGGCATTATTGGGAGCGTTGACATCTTTTTTTTCAAATTCCATCGCACATTTGCATATCATTTACATAAATAATGATACCTTCGAATTAGTACGAATACATTTAATAGAACTTGTAAAATCTTGCATCGATTTGTTTTTCCGAATTACAAGATCAATTGCATTTCTTGTTTATTCGTTGGGCTTCTCAAATTTAAAGGGCGGCAGTCGTCGTGCCGCGTCCTGTTCGATATGGGACTCGTAGCGACGTATACAACGCGTGTAAAATACATTGTTTATTTACATGAAATTCGAACACGCGCTGCGCGACGACCACCACGCTTTAATGCGCAGATTTCGAGCTTCATTTATATTAAATAGAGTAACAGACCCAAAAGACACATTTTGTTTTGGTGTGCCCACTTCAAAATGAGTATGTTGCAACTGCTACATTTCTCGACGAATGTACAAAAATGTCCGTTTCATGTGTTAGAAAAATTTCTAAAGTCATTGCTGGTAAGATTTATGTCTACAAAGTACAATATAAACATTGCCACGTGTAAATAAACGAAGCAAATAAGTACATTTTAAGTTGTATTTGACTACATGAGAAAATATAATAAGTATCGGTTATTTATTTATTTATTTATTTATTTATTTATTTATTTATTTATTTATTTATTTATTTATTTATTTATTTATTTATTTATTTGTTTGTTTGTTTGTTTGTTTGTTTGTTTGTTTGTTTGTTTGTTTATTTATTTATTTATTTATTTATTTATTTATTTATTTATTTATCTATCAATACCACAGCCGAATTAAATAATTGAGAAAAATCGTGAATTATTATTTATTTTTAATTTAAGGGCGATTCACAAGGTCATATAAATCATCTACAACGCAACTTATCGGGTATTTGACGAGAACACGCGTAGATTTTTCTGTCCACACGGTTAGATTTTGGATATCGAAGTTGTATCTGATTTCAGTATGGTGGGTCGGGATATCGTACTGTCCCTTTAACTTGAAACACCGTCAAAATTGAGTTCAACTTTTCTGTGACTCCCTCTCCAAGTTCATTATTGTTACGGCATCGTACTGTTTATTTACACTGCTGTGTAGGCGTTCACATTTGAACAAAAAAATCCTAAAAATATAAAAGTTGTATTGACAATCAGGAAATAATACCGTTCCAGTTCTTATGAAATAAAAACTTGTTTTTCGAGATATATACTTACAGTGTATTCATTTTGATAACTGCTTTGAGTAAATGGGTCAGTCATGATAGTCTCTCTACTAGGAGAGTGACTGTGGTCATGATTAGGACAACAATTCCATCTTCTGTACCTCCTAGCGCATGTATTTTAATTAGATATGTTATCCTTTTCGTTCACAGAAATTGAAATTGTGTTCCTGTCTGAAACACTTTGCACAGAAATATAAAACATATTACAACACCGATTGTGTTTCTACGGGAAACCCTTTACACAGAAATACAACACTATTTATAACTCAACTATTTGATTGCGTACTGCGTGCCGACGACAGAATAAATATAAAGTACTGTACTCCAATAGGGAGTATTATTGTAAAATGGTTCGGTGATATTGCCATCAAACACAGCATGGCAAATTACATTGTTGTTTGTGAAACGTTCAGATTATGTGTACACGGGAATAGATCGTTGTTTACGTTTGCCCCGTGTATGCGTACTTTGTTTTCGCCCCCTCAACGACACCGAAGATCCATAATAGTGGGATGCATTTAAGGCTCTATGTCACGACGTGATAGCCCGAAGACGGGATATATTTTATTTTCGTTTCAGATTACATTCACTCGTGCCTACCCACGTCGTTTGTGGATGATTGACGTTTGGCGTCTCGACACCATAGAACTATCGTACTTGAAATCTTGGCCCAGTAGACCATCTTATTCACAGCGTTTTTCACCTTGGTCATTAAGACATTCCTCGTCAACCTTACCCCCCCATTTGTCAACTTTTCAACCAACCGTGACAACCTTTCAATTTGTTCCTTTCATAATTTCTAAATTTCGATTAAAAAAAAAATCTTAGGTACACAACCTTGAAAAAACTCATGATTATAAATATCTGCAAATCTTATTTTGATCGAGCACCCGGCTAAAAGTTAACTTCATCTCTCATAGCTTTATGATGCTCGCGTAAGTAAACCAAAAGAGTTGTTTCGGTTTGCTTTCTCGGAACGAACAGTGTTGAATCGACAAAAAAAAAAAAATATTTTTAGTACCTATTTACTGGCAAGTTTATTTTAGTCATTCCATTGGGAGACAAGGCAAAATCGTTTGGCAGTTCTCGTCACGCGGCCACTAGTTTGGTATACAATTCACGGGATAATTATTATATATCTTATTTTAATTTTGCTTAAAAGACTCATTTGAAAACAATGTCAAAAATCCATATGTTGTTAACCTCAAAAAGCGCACCAATAGGGGTGAGTAATCAGATTAAGTGCTATATCGAAATAAATAAATAAATAAACAAAATAATGAATAAAATAAATGAATGAATGAATGAATAAATAAATAAATGCGTCTGTTTGGCGAATGAACCCGAATGTTGACAGTATACATGATGGGTATTAGTAAGATATGACGTCAGTATGCTCGCCATGTAAAGAAATCAGAAATGACCGCGGAGGGCGCAATGGGCATGATAACGAAAACTCGGGGCTGGTTGTGCTTTGAGAAATTGTAAGTATACAAATTGCATAAAGAGGAACATCAAAAACAGTAAAATAAAGCCTACATTGCTTCACTAACTCATATACAAATACACGAATGTAAAAGGATATATGAAATAAAGCATACAAAATCATTGGTATGTGTAAGTTTTCCTCTGCTGCAGCAGTGGAATTTCGTTTGAGACGAAGGATATATACAAGGCAGAATTTGATACTGTAAAATGACTAATTTTCACTGGGTTTAAATTTCACTGATTTACCATTTCAGGCATATTCAGTGGGTTTTAAATTCACGATTTTATCATTTAGATAATGTGTTCTATGCTAAATTTTACATATTCACTGTGTTTTAATTTAGCGCATTTTTCCAGTCAGCGAAATAAGCTAAATTAAAACCCAGTGAATAATTACCCCCTTTACAGTAAGTGGAAAAAATATGTCAACAGACGTGCTGCTTTCCGATTGGTCAGATTGTAAGGTGCTGGAGCCGAGCAGCCAATCAGACACAATCTTGTAAGTTGCCTGGCATTGACGCCGGGGGAAAGTGAGACTTGGGAATTTTGCAAACTGAATTCACGAGAATACCGAACAACTTTAAAGGGCGGCAGTCGTCGTGCCGCGTCCTGTTCGATATGGGACTCATAGCGACGTATACAACGCGTGTAAAATACATTATTTACATGAAATTCGAACACGCGCTGCGCGACGACCACCGCGCTTTAATGGTCAGAAAGAATTACATTCAAGCACATACGCAATAACACGTGACTGATCAAGAGGAACTACAAGTATACTGAGGTCATTCAACTATGGATCGAGGATTGCCATAAAATCAATATGATCTCAATACATAGTAAAATCTATCGTGGAAAACAATAATATTCCCAACAAATATTTTAGCGACAGCCGTGGTTTTGCAGACTGAAAATCTCCCATTGACAGTGTGGTGATGATTACATTGACTTTTTAATCTCTTTAACTGTCTTCCAACAAATAAAAGAATACATGATTATATTGCGAACTAACAAAACAGTGACTGTCACAATTTCGGATATGGTATTGTGATTTGTACCATTTGTACCAAATTACTGTTCAAGAATAATAGAAATTACATTTAAAACTAATTATTTAAATTACAATTGATTGGATTTAAGCAGGTGTCACTGTGTCCAAGACTACATTTTGAACGATAATTTAGCAAATACAGCTCCTCAAATGGATCTTCTGTCTGAGTGTTTGGGAACAAGTACGCCGCCCATCTTTGTAAATATATCGAATGTACGTCATCTAAAATAACATACACAATTTCTAAAATTCAAATTCCCTTTTGTTTTGATTTAAGCTGAATTTCCGGCATGAATAATCAAGCGGTAAGTGTGATGGCGTGGCCCAGAAATCACGTGTTTTTTGGCGACTGCTTGTCGCGACTGGATTGCAATGTCATTGTGTCATACAGCGGGCAACAACCGGTCATAGCCTCATCGTCATATGTGTATACTAAATAATTTATATTTTGAGGTCAGCGGTATAGAAGAAAGCTTGGGCATATGAAGTAAAATACGTCGGTAAGGAGACTTCGAATCCTTTGGAGGTTGCTTTCCGTAAATCATGTTTGACATCCCACCATCAGACCACACGTGAAAACAAATCTAAATCCTTAAAGTGAGACTATCTAACAACAAGTATCCATAAACGATCCTTCGCCAAAGTTTATCAGATGAATTTTAAGAAACCAAAAAATATAAAAGTGCCGGTGGGCGGAAAATAAAAGTGTGGGGTCAGCCATATATATTATATATACATTTTCTGGTCATTCACTTCAATCATCATAAGTTACTGATGTTTTCGTAGTCTTTTTGCAGGTCATTGATTGGCTAATGAACGAATTGTTTGTATTGATGCAATTAATCATTAATCCGGAGCCAACATATCTTTAATATAGATAACAGCTGCTAGGACCAATACATATGATAATCATTGCCGTAGTTGTAAAAGTGGCGCTTTTCTAAGAATAAAAAAATTATTCCAGGGCTTCAGCGCCACCATTTGACAATAGCAATACTTTTCTTTCTAACAAGCCTACGAAGATGTATATATTGGTGAAAACAAGATTCATACCTGGTTGCATTTTCGCTTAAGCTACATTATCTTGATGATTACTAGTGGTATAACCATTGCTCTCAAAACAGTTGGAGCTATATTTAAGACGGTAGTCAACATTGCACTCACAAACAACTTGAAAATAATGCTCAGCCCCACGTTAGTTCATTGATGACATTATTGCCATGTTGATATGCGGCGCAAGTTCGCACTGTATAGTTCTCCGGGTAATTCCCGGTCTAAACAAATCTAAATTCAGTAAGAATGATTAATGGGGTGAAATCTTTTCTACAATTGAACAATTCTTGTCTTTATGGTACTATCAGTTTCTCATAGGCATATTGCACCACATAGAGTGAGAGCAGGGGGTCGGATAAAAGATTGGTTCCTTCAGAAGGATCTCTGATAGTTATACTACCCCTACGAGTAGATTAATCTACGAGGAGGGGTAGTATAATCTACGAGGAGGGGTAGTATAACGAAGTTATACTGCGAATTTGACGAGTTTTGCACGGCTTATTTTAAATCCTGTGGTCATGGCGGATGTTTACAGCGCTATTGTGTAAATCGCAATTCTAAACCAGGTGTAGTCAACCGCAATTATCAGCCGTGCTCATTGGCTATAACAGATGTGTTGAAAAGCTCTAGCCAATCGGCATTTACTCAGCAGAGTTTGTTTTGTTTAACAATAGAATCCACCAACAGTGGACTTTATTGTATTACCATAACCAACACTGATTGGACCACGTAGAATTGCATATAAAACATTCGATCACGTGAATTTGGTGCTTATTTGTGAGAATAGTGTAGGCTAAGCACGTTGTTGGGTGAACTCAAGAATTTGCTGCTCCGGAAATTGACTGGGATTTGGAAAACTGGTTGTCCCAAATTGATGTGGACGACGCTGAGGACTTTAAACTGAGCAATATTCAGAAAGAATTCCGTTTTTTGCCTCCAGTTGACAGCAAACAAGTCACCGAATACCAGCAGTCACGCAAACAACCAGACAACTCGCAGCGCTACAAAATGGGGCGTCAAAACATGGAATGAGTGGAAAGAGCAAAGCAGATGACTGATCTCGCTGGGATAAAAGGTTATCATACTGGGCATTCAGGAAAGGTACGTATCACTACTCGTTAACTCCATTTTTTCATGCAAACTGTTTGGTGGAATACCATTTAAATATTATATTCACTGGCACGATATGTCGGATTCATTTCACGCGATAAAGATTTAATGCAAACGGCTTTGGCGTGTTTTAAAAAAGCTGAACGATTGAACGTACTATAACAATGTATTGATATTTTACATTGCTATGAGGTGGATTGTTACAAGCTATTGTACTTTCATATTGATACATTGCATTTTATTTTAATTAAACAGGTTACACAGGCAACCACGCTGTTCCGGCAAAATTTCGACGAGCAGCTAATAGCAGAAAGAACGGGTCACTCCAGTCTAGCAATTAGAAGCTACAAGCGGACGAGCGACGAGCAGACGAAAGCGGTGTCAGACGCATTGCAGCTACCCAAACCGAAAATTGCGAAAGAAGCGAAAACGCATGACATATCCACCACCACCCCAACAGACGAGGACAAATCTAATACTACTGTCATAACCGATTCTTCCCAAGTGTCCGTGAATTTTGTAAAAGGAAATATGAAACTTGAAATACGTTTTTAAAATGTATCGTATAATCGTCATTGCGCATTTAAATAATTGAATGAAAATTCCACCTTGTTCTTTGTTTTCATTCAGTGGCCACCTGTTATGTTAATCAGCTTTTCTCTCCTGTTGTGCTCATGAATATTTAAATTAACCCATTCATTATTAACAGTCCCGGCTTGTTAATCTATTGATAAAACAGTACCGTTAACAAGAATGCATAATTAATTAGGTTGAAACTGTCTGCTAACGAAAGTAAGAAACATAGTTAGAACAATGGGGACGAGACAAAAAGTAGTATAACTATATTAAAGTGTGTCGAACAGGGTGTTAACATATCAGTCGACTGCATGCTAGCTGTGCTTCATTATTAATTAATCCCATCATTCTGTAAGTCATATTAACTCTCACATCAAGAGCACTGCTTTGGTGTGGATATCGGGAAACGCTCAATTATGTGCTGTCTTTCAGGTATAGCATATCTGGGAGGTCATTTGACAGGTTGAGGATGAATGATTAGCTTTAGTTGAAAACATATATCATTGTATTCTTGATTAAAGCGTGTAGCTTTTTTTCGCTCCATCAACTATTTGGTGTCTTTAATTTCAGACAAACTTAGATTTCAAGTCAACATTTTATGCTAATCACGATGAGGCAATTAAGAATAATATACGTGAAACAATAATACTGTGGCCTCACTATCCCAGATTAAGTTGACGGTAACTGACCAAGTCGTAAGCTTTAGAGTGACATTCTGTGTTGACATATTGTACGTTTACAATAAGGAGTGGTAAAAAGCATTGGTAGACTCCAAACACGTGTTTGTTTTTTCATCTCTCATCAGCCTGAAAACTCTATACTCATTGAGGATACTGAGTTCTAGGCCCAACTGAGTGAAAAACCCAACAAATTTACCCATTTAAGGAAGCACCAATCTGATTAAAATCTGATGTAGTGTACGGGCTTTAATTATTTTGGCTGTAAACTTATTTTAATTTTTATTACTTTTGTTATTAATGCCCTTTTATTTTATTTTACATAATAACTTTATTGCATCCTTAGAAATACAATGTTTCTATCAGTTAATAGCAATAAAGATTAGTTGTGATTACTACTACAAAAATGGCATTTTTATTTCTTGATTGAAATGCATTATGAATATAGTTGCCAATCTTTTTTATTAGTACATCATCTTTTGAAGTCGTCAAGAAATTAATTTTCTGGAGATCATCCTGGGTTTCTTGTGGAAATATGTCTTGTATGATTTGTTGGCGTATTACTTTATATTGTGGACATTTCATAACAAAGTGCAGTTCATCTATTTCATTCTGTGAACATTGTTTGCAAATTCTATTTTAGTAGGTATTTTTGGTTGCATATGT